GCGCGTGCGGGCGTGCCGTGAACGTGGGTTGAATGAATGGTTGAATTACATTTTAAGGCCTTTCAGCCCAGGGAAGTGTTCCTGTTCTAAAGCTTCACCCATCAGCCTGGCACTCTATCTAAAACTCTTATTAATTGTGATCCTCCTAGTTTGGGTTTGGAAGTAACAGCTTTATGCCCTCAGAAGAGATCAAGTGAGGGACGTGAGTCATTCGCTACTTAGTGTTGATCATTTTAAGATCCTTTCATCCTAAGAGCTAATTGGGATTCTTCAGAGGAATTAGAATTTTGAGGAATGCGAAAGAAGGGCTTATTGTGAAGAACAGATGACAGACTGCTGGAGTCGAGGTAAATTGTGGATGTGGAGAGTTCCGGTAGCGAAAGCCAGCATGAGAATAACGAGGTCGGAGGGGGGAGGGAGAGGCACGCCAGGGGAGAAGTGAAGGAAGCTCGGCCCATGCTTCTGGGCCTGGACCCGGGCCGTGTGTAGGGTCCCCTGCCCGGTGCCCAGATGGTCAGTGTTGGGGTGAAGGGAAGCAGCTGAGCCTGACACGGGGAGGTGGGCATTTTAGGGACTTGAAACGAGTTCATTGAGAAGGCATTTTTATTACAAAGGAATTTGGGAAAATAGGCCTTACTTTGTAAAAATAGAGCATAACTCCCGTCACAGACATTTCTGGGTTTATGGTTTGGGATTTCAATGGAGGAGTGAAATGCTCGCTTGAACAGGCCTGAAGGTGTTTCAGTTTTCCTACACGGTCCATGTAAATATCTGCACCTCACAGATTTGTCGTTACGTTAATTAATCCCAAGTCACGCTTAGAAACTGCTGGTGTCCACACCACCCCCACTGTGAGTTTTGAGGACATTATTGTATTTGTCACAGACATATTTTCTGGAAGCTGCTTTTTTTCTTTGCCCTTTTCCAGCCTTTGTGTGCCTTTGTTTTCGTCTGTGGAATCTGAGTTTTATTTAAAATTCCAGATGGCTGACTGTCCTCAGATGAGTGTTCACTCTTTTATTTTTTTTTCCACCTTTTTTTTTTTGAAGTGGCTGTTCTTACATCAATGCCATATTTTGCATTTTTATGTAGTTTTAAAAATTAAAATGTATATAAATTAAATATATATATATACACACACGTACGTATAGTACAAACGGGCAGCTCTCGTCCCTAATTGTAGGGTGTGAATCAGGAGCAATCTCAGTTTGTCTATTCAGCCTAAATTTGATTTCCTCCAGAGCAGTAAAATCTTCTTAGAAGTTTGGTCATTGTAGTTTTTCTTTCAGTTAATGCTTGCTTGTTTAAGGTTCCCTGTGATTTTTATCTCAGCTACCTCTGGCCACTGGGAAATTTCTAACAAAATTTTTAAGGGTGATTTTATTTGTAGAAATGTCATCTGTATATTTTTAAGGTTCAACCAAAAGTTGAAATGAAAGTCGGTAAGTTTAGCTGTCACCCCAGATACCATCAGGCATTTAAAAAAGTCTATTATTATGTTTGAAGAGAAGCGAAAGCATCTTATTACCGCAGAAAGCAGGGAGCGTTTTTCTGCGTCTCCAGAGATGGCATTTCCCGTCTCCCCTCTGATAGGAGAACCGAGCCCTGATGACTTCACTCCAGCGCTCCACAAGAAGTGCTTATTATCTTTTTCTAGAGAACAATTCCTCTTTCTTTAGGGCTTGGAGGCACACTTTTTAGAGACACACTTGCTCACTGTCCGGCGAAGAAATGTTTTGCCATTGTTGATTAATAAACAACAAACACATCTGGCAAGCCGGCTCGTGTGTTTAACTTGGTGACTGTTAAAATAGCTTTTCTGATTCAAGGAGGGAGGATGGAGCTGGATACAAATGACCGCTGCTATCTAGGTCATGTCTGCTCCGAACCCCGAGGAAGGCTTTTGTTCCTTCTGTTAATTTCCTAAGGGATCAAGCAGCACAAAGTTTTTTTTGCATGTGTTGTAGCCAAATAAATTTTGGAGGAACACAGACGAGGAGAGAAAGATTAGAAGGAAAATCACCGACGCCTGGATTTTTCCTTGCGTCACATGAAATGTTACGCTCACAAGTGTAGTTTTCCGATCATTACTGTAGTCCAGCTGAACTGTGGCTGAGCTGTCTCATGGGAGAAAGCTCACCAGTAAAGTCAGCGTCCACGCCGTGCTTGAAAAATAAATGCATGTTTATTATTAAACATTTAAATGAAGAAGTGGCGGGAGAATGTACTATGTAGGTTTTCAGTCGAAGTCGTCCCTCATGCTTCCAGAATTTGGCCTTTTTTTGAAGACCGTTGTCGTCAGAGAAGTTTCCTTTGGTAATAAAGCCGAGTCGACCTTCCGTGCCGTGTCCGTCACTCTCCACGTGTTCTTGTGCATCCTCTCTCCACCCAGGACCGCCCCAGCAGTAAGGGAGCTTTCGTTTGGTGGAAACGTTCATTTTAAGAGTTGCTGTAGAGATGGAGCGTAAACGTAGAGCACAGCTCTGAACTTGGCGCCGAGGTTTCATTTTTCTTTTCATGTCTGTCTTTGAATCTCCAAGTAAAATTTGGGGGAGTGACCACATGGTTTCAGCAAACTACAGAACATGACGGTCCTACTCTCGAGATGGGGATAGTCCTCTTGACCAGTGGGGAAAGGCACATTTCTGGATGGAGGAGGGACTTCAGGACCGAAGGGGCCTCGCTGGGAGGACACAGCCAACAGCCAACCCTTCGTCTCGCCCTGAGCCTGTCCCTCGGCCTCCCTGTCTGCCCGTCCCTCTTTCCCCTGAGGACCTCCCTCACTGCTTCGCTCCATTCTTTTTTGAAGTGACGGACGTGGCTTTCAGAAAGCCTGCCCGCGTGCTGTACCGCGCTTCCTCCAGCGTTCGAGGTTGTCCTGACTCTGCCCTCAGCCCTACCTCTTCTCCCTTGGCCTGATCCTTCCTCGCTTGTCGATTCCTACCTTAGACTCGATCTCTTTTCTGTTTTATCCCTGTGTCTATTATGAGACTTGAAAAATGAAGCCCCAAGGGGCTCCTCTCGGGTTCATAGAGACCAAAAAATTGCTGGATGGATAAAACTTCTGTAAAGAGGCGCTTCAAACAGTGAAACACAACCTCAAACGAGAGACAAGAGAATGTTCCCTTAGAAAGGAGCACTGTTCTTAAAAAAAAGAATCTGCTTTCGTCTCCTCGTCCCTGGCCTCCCAGCAGTCGGCTGTCTTTTGTGACTCTGCTCAGCCTAGGGCCCAGCCGGGTAAGATGAAGGGCTCCGAGGCTGTGCCGAGGGGAGGGGGCCTCTTCGTTTCTGCTCTCTCTCACCTTCCCGTCTCCTCCGTAGCACATAGCGCGCCCCTGCCACCAATGCGCACCTTGTCAGTCAGAAAACAGACAGCACATTCAAGCCCAGTAATCGAAGGAAGGTCATTTATTAAAAGGAGCATTTACGACGTTGTGGAGAGGGTTCAGGAAAAGCAGTGAGGGGTGGTGTGGTACCCTGGGGCTAATCGTGGTGGGGAGCTGCTGTGGTCCCCAGATCTCAAAGGGCGGGGAGAGCATTACAAGAACTTCATAGATTAGCTGTGGGGGCTGCTTGACCAGAGCTGTGGCCTTTGGTTGGAGAACCCAGCCAACCCATAGCATCTGAGCGAGGGGAAGCTGGAGATATAAATCCCTGCCCTCTTCTGTGCCAGAACTGCTCCATGGCAAATCAGAACCAGGGGGAAAGGGAGCCGTTCACGTGGTCCACGCCGGTCAGAACAGCCTCGGAGTCAGCCTGACCTCTCAGCAGCTCAGCCCACACCTGATCCAATCCACCAGCAAGTCCTAGTGTTTTCCTGATCAAAGGACCTCCAGCGTCTGACCCTCTCCCCCTACCTGCACAGCTGCCCCGTGGTCCAAGTCTCCATCATCTCCAGGGGAGGAGAGTGCCTCCCATCTGGAACCTTCCTTCCTATCATGGCACTTCTATAGTCTATACTCGGAGTCATCTGTGGCTCCTCAGCTCATTCAGACAGAAAGCCTACAAGACTTGACACGGTCTGCCCCTTTCTTCTCTGACCCCATCCCCTAATGTTCTTGAGGCTCACCCTGGTCTAGCCCTCTGGTGTCCTTGCTGGTCAACACCAGGCACATACCTGCCTCAGGGCCTTTGCAGATAGCGAGGAGGTGAATTTATCTTTAAGTTTAAAAAGATCTAAGTAATGGAAATATTCGTCTGCACAAGACTTTTATGCAAATGTTTGCAGCAGCATTATTTGTAATAGCACCAAATTGAAAGAACCCAAATGTCCATCAGCTGGTGAATGGGTAAACTAATTGTGGTATACAGCCATACAATGGAATATCACTCAGCAATAAAAAAAGAATAAGGTGTCGATCCATGTGACAGCATGGATGAACCTGGAAAACATTATGCTAAGTGAATATTATGAAATAATGAAGGCATTATGCCAGTCACAAAAGACCTCATACTGTGCGCTTCCATTCACATGGGACATCCAGAATAGGCAAATCTATGGAGACAGAAAGTAGGGTGGTGGTTGCCTAGGGCTGGGGAGGATGTGGGAACAGGAGGGTGACAGCTAAGAGGGACAGGGTTTCTTTTCGGGGTGATAAAAATATTCTATAATTGATTGTGGTGATGGTTGCATCATTTTGTGACTATACTACAAGCCGATGAATTGTACACTTTAAATGGATGAGTCGTATGGTACGTGAATTACATCTCAAAGCAGTTAAAGATCTAAGTGACTGCTGTCTTAAGAACACATTCCTGTCATTTTCACAAGTAGTGTGTAAGTCTTAGAATTCATTATTATTGTATCTAAAGTTTTAAAGGGAACTGACTCCACGACTATTCTTTTTTCATTTCTCCTTTATTTTTTAACTCTTAAATTTCCTTGGAGCGCACGTGCTAGGTTGTCAATATTTGGATGTCGTTTAAGTGAATGAGTGTTTTCCTCGTGTGTTAATGTGGGGAGCAGGGGTACTAATCGTGGTCTGTTTTTCCACCTCCAGCACTTTCATGAGGGCCGCAAGGCCCAGCAACACATAGAGACCTGCTGGAAGCAGCTCGAATCAGTAAGTGAAAGCACACGGCTCAAGAAATGTCTCTATAGACCTTCTAATTTGAATTTAAATTAAGCTTGAATCAATCAGTAAGGACAAAACAAAGACACTTAAGAAATGTCTTTAGAGATTTTTCTCATTTGAATTTGTTTCTAGAAACCATTATCTAGAGTAAAACATTGAGCCAAAAGAGCTCAAGTAGAGTATTTTTCTAAAAATCATATGGAAAGAGCAAAGAGGAGACAGTTTGGGTGGGAATAAATGCAGATTTTAAAATAACTTTGTGAAATTATGACATGTAACAAATCAGTTCAGAGAAGAACGGTCTTTTGGAGGTTTAGATAAAATCGTGTTTTCTCCTAGAAATCTCATGACCTCTTTAATAATTACTCTCCCTGCCACCCTTTTCCTTCGCTTTTAGAGTAAAAGACGATTTGAGCGGGATTGCAAAGAGGCTGACCGAGCACAGCAGTACTTTGAGAAAATGGATGCGGACATCAACGTTACAAAAGCAGATGTCGAAAAGGTGAGGCGAAAGTGAGCCTTCCGTTCATTTCCTTTTTTACTGTTCGACACACATCCTCCCAGACTGACTGTCCTTAGTTCTCCTTTCTGAGGCAACCACAAAAGACCACTCAATTTGGGATCGTTTTCCCTCTGTGTCACCTGTCCTGGGAACCAGAAACTAAAATTTGGGGAATCTTCGTGTCATGATTTGAACAATTTATCGCTTTGTTTACTCACCAGGATGGTAACGGGGAGACGTAGACCCTGAAGGGACCGTGGGAGGGCGGTTTCCGGAGATTGTGGCTTTCTCTTAATGGCTTTTCAAAGAAAAAGTGAACCCCTTGAAAGCTGGAGCAGACGTTCAGCGCCATCTGGAAGAGCTTGGCTGCTCCTGAATGCTTCCATTAAAAAGATAAAGAGACTCCCTCCCACGGCTTGGCCTCACTTCTGGTTGATTCCTTCAGGTTGCTGACAGGTTGTAGTTGAGGCATTTTACAAGTCCTCTCAGAAGCCTTTCTCCAAATGGACTTGTGCTGGCAATGAAGAGCATTTCAAAGCTGGTACTAGTTCTTCTTGTGGTTGATATGTGTGTTTTCCCTAGAAGCTGAATTTTCTTGTTAGGAAGGTCATCAATATAGTGTAAACAAAATGAGGCAGTTAAGGAACAGTGCTCATTCGTTACTGCCCAGGGCTGTTTTCATAGATTTCTTTCACTTCTGCCAGATGAGTTGGAGATGGGTTTACTTTGAAAATTGTGTGAATTAGTTATTTTGTTATTTGCCCAATTCTCCTAGATTCCTTGCTTAAAGACTGTGTATATATTAGTCTGCCTTCCTCTAAAATTACCTAAGATATTGAAATACACTATCTCAGTATCTATATTTGATCTTGAGTGGCGATGTTGACTTTACCAAAATATATACTAACTTGCTGGTAAGTGTACTATAAATCACCATAAATTTGTCATAGGTTCTCATTAAAATAGCCAGCTCCCCCAAGTATTTAAAAGGTTATGCAATTAAAATAGATTGACCCAAAGTTTATCCAATAAAACCGTTTGGGTTAAATGAGGTGAAATCAGTGTGTGTGTCACAGAAACAAATCTAGCACAAAAGTACACATTCTCTATCAAATATATTTTGTTATCCTCAATGTAAAACTGGAGTGATTTTTATTTGTTGAAAGACTTTTTAAAAGAAATAACTTTTAGTGGTCTTTTCTTGGTATAAAAGCTGTCCACGCTCGTTGTAGAAATATCTGAAAATACAAACAACTAAAGGGGGAGAAAAACTTTAAAACATCCAGCTATTGCTAATAAAAGGGATTTTACGTTTCAGAGGCTTTTCTTTAAAAAATAGTATATATTATCTCTGTACAATGTAAAGAAGAATACCAAAAGGAACACCTGCTAATCTACAGCCTGTCTTAAGAAATAAAGTCTTATTGGTGCCTTTGAAGTCCCCCTCCTAACTTCGTCCTTTTTCTCCCCACCCAGGTGCCTTGCTAAACTCTTTCTATTTCTCTTTTGGGTTTTCGGTAGAGACAGTCCTATCACCAGCAAATAATGGCGGTTTTATTTCTACTTTTTAAATCCTTATGCCTTGTGTTTATTTTTCTTATCTTGCTCTGCTGTTTCTGACCTCCATTGTGCTGGCAGAGCCGTCCTTGGGGACTTCCTTATCTTGTTCTTGATTACAAAGACAGCGCTTCTTCAAATGTGTCCCCACTAAGCAGGATTTTACTATTCCCTTTAGCAGGTTAAGGGATTTCCCTTTTCTTTGTGTTTTTCCAAGAGTTTTTTTTAAGCTTGACTTGATATTGAATATCATCCAATACTTTTTTCTGCTTCCTTTAATCCATTAATGTGATGGATTACATTAATCACTTTTCTCATATGGAACCAAATTAGCATTCCGGGGGGCAAATCCAACTAGATGATGATGTATTATTTTTTTATACATAGCTGAATTTGTTTTGTTAATATTTTACTTAAGGTTTTTACATCTATATTCATTGAAACTGGTCTATAATTTTTCTTTATTATCTCTCCTAGTTTGCTTTACTTACTCGTTTTGGAAAGTTGCTCTTTTTTCTGGTTTCTGAAATAATATATGTGAGATGAAATTGTTCCTGAAATGTTTTGTAATACTTTGTTTTGGGAAAGTTTCTAACTACTGATTTGGTGCCTTTATTGTCTGCTTTTTCTTCGGTTGGTCCTGGTGGGTTATTTTTTCTGGGACTATATGTGTTTCTTTGTAAGGTTTCAAATTTATTGGGCAGAAGTTGCCCATAGTATTCTCTCCCTTTAAGTTTTGCTGCGTCCATTGTTGTGTGCCCTTAATTTCTTCCTAATATTGCTTATTTATACCTTTTATTAAAATCAGATTTCTAAAATCATTTTTATTAGTATTTTCCAAGAACCAAAATTTGTGTTTGTGGAGCTTCTCTATTCTATTTTTATTCTCTATTTCGTTTAGTTTCTTTTTCTTCTTCCTCTTTTGTCAATGTATTTGGATTTATTCTATTGCCTTTCGGAAAACTTCTTTCTTCAACTGCTCACTTCATTTCAACTTTTCTTCTTTTTATAAGCATTTAAATAACAAATTTCCCATTTAAGTACTGTTTTATATAGTAGTATTATTGTTCACTTCCAGATATTTTTCATTTCTTTCACTATTTAGTCTCTCCTATGATTTATTTAGAATCATATTTTAAAATTTCCAATTGATGGCATATTTAAACTTATCTTTTTGCTATTGATTTCTAATTTAATTGCATTGTGGTTGTGGAAAGCCTGACTTTGAGCCTTTTCTGTTTGTTGAGACTTGCTTTGTGGCCGGTACATGGTCAGGTTTTATAAATGTCCTATAAGTAAATGAAAAGAATGGGTATTCTCCATTTCTTGGTTGCCAAGTTCTACATATTTTCATTAGATCAAACCCGCTGGTGATCCAAATGTTCCCATTATTAAGGATTTTTTGTCAGCTTGTTGTAACATTTTGTGAGAAAGACGTGTCACTTCTTTGTCCTTTCTTTCTTTGTCTGTAAAGTGGGAACACAGAACAGGGTTGATGCGAGGTTTAGTTGGGTTAATATGTACAAGGCACTCCAAGCCATTTATGGCAGTGCCGGTGCTCCCTAAGTTAGCTATGATGATGATAATGGTGGAAGATTTGTCACTTTCTGCCAATTTTGCTCTTCTATGGTAAAGTTATTTTATCAAAAAATAAAGCTTAGAATTGTAACATCTTCATGTGATTTAATTTTTCTTCAGCGTGTAGTGATCTTTCTGCCGTCATGCTCTGTGCTGTGAGGTCTGTTTTACCTGACGTTTACCGGCTCTTTCTTTGCGTTAGCATTTGCCTGGCAGATCTTTCCCATACTTTTGAGTCTGAGTGTTTCTTTGTCCTCATGTTTAGATGTGTCTCTCATAAAAGGCGTATATGGCTGGACTTCTTTTTAATCCAGTCTGAGAGGTCTGGATCCACATATACCTGGAGAGTTTGAGTCCAAGTATATATACCACCTCTTTTTTTTTTTTGGTCTCACTTTTTCTATATCTCTTTCCCTCTTACTCTGACATTGTTTGTTTCTTGTCTTCATGTCTTTTGAAATTTTTGTTTTGTTTTACTTTCTTCATTCCATTTTGCCCCTCTTGTCTTTTGGAGGTTATGTATTCGTTCTATTTCTGTTCTTTTGTTGGGGGGCCTCGACATTTTAACATATGTGTTCAACCTAAACCATAACGTAAATCAGCATCTTTACTGATGTCCTCCCAAACAACACTTGACCAAAAGCAGCTTTCCTGGGCGATTGCAATTTATTTTTGAATATTTTTGGTTCAACTACTCAAATTAGGCTTTAATAATTTTATACAATTCTATAAGTATTGTTTGATTTTCTTTGTTCACAACTTCTTTTGTACCTGGGATCTTATTTTTTCTTCCCAAAGGGCATCCTTTGGAAGTTCCTTTAGCAGAGATTTATGACAGTAAAACCTCAGTTTTTGTCTGATTGGAACCATCTTCACCTCACTCTCGTTCTCGAAAGCTGATTTCTCTGTATACAGAGTCCTAGGGAGACTCTATTGCGCCTGGAGGATCTACCTACGTCTCCTGGCTCTCATTTGTGCTGAGAAGTCACGGTGGCTGAGAGGTCAGAATAATTGTTAACCCTTTGAAGATAGCTTTCCTTTTCTTCTTGGTAACTATTAAGATCTATTTTTTTGTCATTGTTCTTCTGAAATTTCACTATGACGTATCTAGGTGTGAATTCCTTTTTTTATCTTCCTTTTGAGTCATTGAGCTTATTGACTCCAGATCGGAATTTCCTGACACCTGCCTATCCCTCATTCTATTATTTCTTCTGGAACTCTGATTATAAAGTAGAAGTTAAAACTGCCACTTTATATCCTCTATGCCTATTAACTTTTATTTGTATTTCCCATCTCTTTGTGTCTTTCTCTGCTTTGTTCCATGTAATTCTTTGAGATGCAACTTTCATTTCACTAATTCTCTCTTAAGCTATGTCTAATCTGTGGTTTAACACGTCCATTAAGTTTCTAATTTCAGTTGTTACATTTTCATTTCTGGAAGTTCCTTTTAGTTCTCTTTAAAATCCGTATTGTCATTTTATTTTCTTATCACTTCATCACACTTTTGTACCGTAGTTTACTTCTTTAAACATAGTAACACAGATTTTATATTCTCTATTTGATGAATTTCAGCATCTACAATCTTTGTGGGCCTGATTCTTCAGTTTGTTGTTTCTGTTGACTTGTTCATGGCAACTTGTTTCCTCATGTATTTTTGTGATACAAACATTTCTGCTATAATCCCATAAATGCATTGGTGAAAAACCTTATGTTCTGGAAAAATACTGCTAAAAATAACAAACAGAGCTTATGGGAAAAGTAGGCATAGAAACAGGTTAGTCAGTACCTATAGAACTTTGTAACCAGAGCACCAACTAAACAACAATCCTAGTAAAACTACTAGCATTTGCATTGAACCTCACAGC